GGGGGGCTGTTATGGATAATGAGAATTTGAAGTTAAGACTGAAACGATGCGCATTAAAAGTGACAAAATATGTTATTGAAATATGAGGCATAACGTGACAAACTATGTTATTGAAGTATAAGGCATAACGTGACAAACTACGTTATTAAAGTATGAGGCATAACGTGACAAACTACGTTATTGCCCGGCATGGCCAGGTGGTTAGGTGGCTCGAATCGCAATCTGAGGGTCGCAGGTTCGAATCCCCGTACCATCAAATATGCTCACCCTTTCAGCCGTGGGGCGTTATAATCTCACGGTCAATCCCACTATTCGTTGGTAAAAGAGTAGCCCAATGGTTGGCGGTGGGTGGTGATGACTAGCCGCCTTCCCTCTAGTCTTTCACTGCTAAATTAGGGACGGCTAGCGCAGATAGCCCTCGTGCAACTTTGCGGGAAATTCAAAACAAACCAAAACCAAACTGGTGTTGCTGAATTGTCTGGAGTGGGAAGTTAGAGGATTCACGGTTCGCGACACGTTGCTGCAAAAACGCGATTCGAAGTTTGGAACCGTGCACGTGCTTTAGACCACAGAAAATAGGGGTCAAGAGTTGTCGGTGGGTACTGTTTACCCTTTAATCTATTACTTCAACATTAGGGACAGCTATGCGCAGAATAAATAAATAAATAAACAAAGCTAAAATTTTGAGAAAACAAATGTTTGGAGGAAGCTAACTTAAAACAACACTAAAAGCTGCATATTAATTTGCACGATAAAAGGAACTGAACACTTACATTGGTAGCCCCATACTTCTTATTTTTTTAGGGTGGGGTTCGTTCTCTATTTAGAATTTTTTTCTAAGCTTTTTTCGCTGATCAAACATTTAATATTCGTATGTTCTCATCCCGAATATTTTATACCTAAGATAACTGTGAAAGAAAGAGTACCTTGTTTCATACCAGTAACGATACAAAAAACCATGCGCAAAAATCATAAAAAAAAACTTACTATATAAATAATAAAAAAAAGATTGTACAGAGTTCTAGTTCTCAAAATTTATCTATGTACATCTTTTTCTTCTTCTTCTTCTTCTAGAAACACACTGAACGCGAGGCTACCCGAGGACCTCCAGGGAATGAGGCTCAGCTGCGAACACATTAAGACTGCCGTTCTCTCGTTTGTAACTGGTTTTACAAGAAGGTGCAAGCAATATGGAGAAAGAACTTACATTCAGAGATACCATCGCTATTCAAACAAGCTTCCTTAGTTATATCAACCTGGAAGGCGGGAACGAGAGCCGTACAAGTTAACTGGGACTTGTGGATACGCCAGAAAGCAAGGATGAACTTATCTTCAAAGGAACAGGACTTCTAGCATCCGATGGTCTTTTTAGTTGAGGAGTTGAGCGGTTCCTTTCAAAGAAGAAACATCAATATTGATAAGTGCCACACTTATTGACAACGAACTCAACGAGCCTGCTACCTACTAACTTACTAAACTAATATATGTCAATAAAACATAAGGTTGCTTGAATACAGCACTGGGCATTGGGTGTTTTCTTTTTTCTCTTTCTAGTTATTCATGTATTAAATATCTTTGCCCATAGTTATTTGATCTGAGCGTCATGGTTTTACTAAATAAGTGGACATTTAGATGCTAGTATCTTTTTTATTGACTGCAAGATTCTTTTGGACTATCGAACCCCGGATTTTAGCGTTGGAGAGTAGGAAAAACGAAATGATTAAGTATGTTTTTCATAATACATTATGTTAGGCTTATTATATTTCTTAACACTCGCGGATTTTCAAGAAGTAGAAGAGTGTGCAACAGTAGTTTATAAACCGCACTATGTTTATTACATCCATTGCCAACAATGCATTTCGCTCAATCCAGAACTCTTCAGACGGGCTGGGAAACAACAAGTAATGTCGGAACACTATTTACATAGACCATGTGTTACAAAAGCAATTGTTATGGTGTAAACGCTTTTTATAAGCTGGTGAAGCAAGATCTAAATAATTAATTGTTTTTGTCGTAAGACATTATGTTAGGCCTAAAAGGCGTCCACACCGTAACAATAAAACAAACTTTAAAACCTAAAATACACACACACACACAAAGTGTTTTGCCTTAACTCAAAAATAATTGAAATGCATCATTCATGACTGGGAAATTAAGCCTGAACGTTTGACTACGACATCGTTTTTAAAACTGGAGGCCGCTAGTCATGTCCGAAATTTTATAAAAATATTATTTATAAAATATCAAATATTTTTCGTACAATTAATTACGACTTTTAATTTTGGAATACAGCTTTTTATCTACATAGAATCTTTTTATCCAAAAACAAAACAAAAAAAAACATCGATAGGTTTGGGGGTCCACCAAATTTAAATTAAAAGTGGGTCCTGGGGTTACTAAAGTTTGAGAACCGTTGGCCTAAGAAATGATCTTATCTGTCTTCAGTATATTGCAGGGTACTTGTTTAAGGGTTAGTAAAAGAGTAGCCCAAGAGTTGGCGGTGGGTGATGATGACTAGCTGCCTTCCCTCTGGTCTTACACTGCTAAATTAGGGTCGTCTAACGCAGATAGCCCTCGTGTAGCTTTGCGCGAAATTCAAAAATAAACAAAGAAACAAACAACTTGTTTCGGGACACGTGTTTAATGTCTAACAACGTTTCGCCAAATGACCACTCATGGAAGAAATTCCCGAGATTGTCAGTTGAGGTCAACGTTTCGCCAAATGACCACACAAGGACGAAACGATCGGATTTTGATGAAACTTGGTGGAGATATGTAGAATATTATTCCTCATTGTCCTGCCAAAAAATGGTCTGTGTCCGTTGATAACGACGGACACATTTTCGTATTTTTGTAGAGCCGAATATGATCAACGCTGCGAGGTATGGGCCTCTACTGAATGCCCTCTAGTTCTTAGAGAAAGAAAATAAATTTCGTTTCTCCTCACTAAGAGAGCTCTGAATACGCTACTCCGGAACTTCAAATGCGAGGCTGATTTTATTGTATATTTTTATATCAAATATGCACATTTCCTGCCCTGTAAGTTTAGTGACGTCATAACATTTTATTGCCTTTATATACATTTTGTTCACTTGGATAATTTAATATTCTTCTAGTTTCACCAAGTGTAACTATCGTTTGTTCTTAGGAACTTCTGAGATGTTTTAAAGTTGCCATAAAAGCTAGAACTAATAGCGTGGTCTGAAGCTTCGATTTAAAGATAACAACCATTTTTTAAACACAGTATGTTTCCTGTTACTTTCTTGATGCATCTGTGTCTCTTGTTGTCACGCAGGTACATTTTTTATGGCACGAATGTAGGCTGTAATTGTATTATAAGATACGTTACTATGGTGATATCTTTCTCATATCACCATAGTAACAACTATTTAACGAAACTTTTAAACTCGACTCCTTACATAAGATTTCAGATAAACGTATCTATTTTTGAGTAACGTCATATCTCAGTTTGGTTTGATTTGAATTTCTGTGAGCAAAGACTAGAAGGAAGGCGGCTGGTTAACATCACTCACCGCCAACTCTTGGGCTACTTTTTCACCAACTGATAGTGGGGTTGGCCGTAACTTTATAACGCCCCCATCCCCAACGACAGGTGTGTGTGTGTGTGTGTGTGTGTTTGTCAGCAAGATTTCTCGAAATTGGCTGAATGTATTTGGACGAATGTCGGTAAAAATTTGGTCAATGAACCACCTTAGAAGTGATTAGTTTTTGGAGGGTCAAAGGTCAAGGTCACGAATATCCAAAAAATCTCTATCTGTTAACATGGGGACCGATTTTCACACTATTTTGGCTCTATAACTCAGTCATAACTGATCGTAACCTATGATATGTTTAGATTGGACTACTTTTTACCAATTAATAGTGGGATTGGCCGTCACATAAAAACGCCTCCACCGCTGAAAGGGCAAGCATGTACGGAGACAGAAATTCGAACCCGCGACCGGCAGGTTACGAGTCTATCGCCTTAAACATCAGGCCATACCAAGCCTACAAATCTCAATATACTAAAGTAACAACTTGGCATAATATTAGGTCGTCAAGAAATTCATGTCGCGTTTTGGAACACATTCATTAACCCCCCCCCCAAAAAAAAACAACGTACATCACGTATAATAGTTAAACGAACCGCCTAAACGTACACGTTAGTGTAGCCTATATAATGTGTAAGGTTTATGGTAACTTTAATCACTTATAGTGATGGCACACGACGAGACACAC